GGCGTCGCGTGACCTCGTTGCGGATGGCATGGCCGACCATGGTCGTCTCGAAGCGAAACTTTTCGGTCAACGTCCAAAAGTAGCCGTGCACTAGTGTGCCGACGCGGACCTTGGCCTGCGGCGTCTCAACGTCCTGGATGGCCTCTTGTAGCTGGAAGATCATGGGCAGGCCGTAGCGCGTAGCGTTGACGCCCAACTTGTCGACCAGTTTATAGAGGAGTACGTGCAACAGAACAATGTCTGTCTCGTAGTCGACGTACTGCAACGCGTTGTCGTAAATAACGACGTGGAGAAGAGCCAGGAAGAAGCTGCGGCGCCTGCGGCTGGAAGAAGGCTGCTTCGCAATGGGGCTGCTCACCGCACCCGTCTCACCGCGGTTCGACGTACTCGACACAGCGCGTCTCGCCAAGTTCGAGGTCGCACCAACAGCACCCGCCGCCGGGTTGTTCCTTGTGCTGGGGCGGTGGCCGAGGACGGAGGTCACTGGGGTAGACGACTCAATCGTGCTATCGTCGCGAGCACGCTGGTCGGCATGCGAAACCTCACGGTCGAGCCAGGTGATGAGAGCGTCGACATACGCCTTGCGCACTTGGCCATCGGGGTCCCGTAGCAGCCAGTGCGTACCCTCCCAGACTTGGATCGGTACGCGATTTCGGGACAGTGTCTGGTTGCCGCCGAGGGTAGTCTTGGGGTTGGCCACCAACAGGATCGCTTTAATCGAGCGCAGCACGGCCGTCTTGGCCACACTGAGAGAGAAGAGGGAGTCGACTGAAGCATGGTGGGGTGCGGTGTGAGATGCGTTGTTCTTTTGCGGCGAGTCACACGTGCCCGCACCCGCGCCCGCACCCGTGCCCGCACCCGCGCCCGCACCCGTGCCCGCACCCTCACCGTCAGCCTTTCCGTCCTCAGAAGCCTTCTCGCCTGGCGGCGTAGAGCTGCCCGTACCCGTGCTCGACCGTGGCGGTTTCATCCGGTATAGAATAGTCGCGACCATGTCGGAAAGCTGGTCGGCGTAGTACACGTGTGTGGCGAGGTCACCAATGCACTGCTGCAAGCGCGTCAGAAGCACCTTACGCTTTGACGCAACTGTGGTAACAGTTTCGATGGCGGCCAATGTAGAAGGCGAGCGCGGGTCGGGGCGACCGGGGAGTGGACCTTCGGACGCGGCGACGGCGGCGGCAGCGGCAGGATCACCAGGCATCTGGACAAGCTTCTTGATATGTTGGATGAAGCCCAGGAGCACGTCCATGACGCTGAGACCGATCAAGCTTTCTTCCGAGCGGAGCAGAGAGCCAACCATGGTGGTCAGAGTGATGTGGAGGTCGAGAGTCTCGTCGGAGAGAGGGGCGCGGGCCAGGGCATCCATGACGGTAATGAGAATGATGTAGCGCTCCTGGACGGGTGCCCAGCGCAAAAGAAGGCCGCAGATCTTGACAGACCATCCGCCTTCCCGGCTACCAGCACCCGTGCGCACGACCGCCTCGCCCTGCTGGATACGGTCCTTGACAAAGTCAAGCAAGGCCAGAGTGGCGTAGTGGATGAGCGAGCGGCTCGAGGAGATGAAGATCTGCTTCAGGCACAGTATGGCCAGCACACCAATGTCCTGCTCGGCCAGCTTGTCGACGTCCATGGCGGTGCCGGAGAGGGCAATTGGGTTGGTGTCGCCGGCGGTGTCGGCGGTGCGCACAGTGGCCACGCTGTTCCGCCGTTTCAGCGGGCGGTCTGTGTCGTCCTTCTTTTCTTCCATCTCGGCACGGTCGACAAGCACATCCAGGAACTCTTCGTTGTCGGTCCACAGATTTTCGAGGATCATGGGGACCATCATATCGTACTGGCGGCCGGCAATTGACGAGAGGGCGTCCGAGGCAGCAACGGCGCGGATGGCCTCGAGACCTGCGCTGCGCCATCGCATGGCCACTGGCCTGCTGGGCCGGGTCTTACCGGGCGAGAGGCGGGTGGAAGCAAAGGACGCATAGTGACGCACTACGGCCTCAAACTGGGCGAGGTACAGCTGGTCTGCGAGCAGGGTGGAGGAGTCATGGTTGGCGCAGAATACCTTGAAGGTCGGGAGAGACGACTCCACCATGGTGATGTCGTTTGAGCGGAGGATGACGTCGAGAATCTTGAGGACATTGGGAGCAACCAAGGGTAGATCCTTGGGGTTCTTCTCGATGAGAGCCTCGAGGATCTTGAGGGTGACTTGGACATTGCCTATCCGCTGGCGCCAGACATCGCTAGCCGTCTTTCGCTCGAGGAAACTGCCTACCTTTTGGATCTTACTCCGGCGGGAGGTGGCGTAGTAGAGCAGGTAGCTGAGCTCACTTGAGTTGGGCTTGACGTCGATGGTGCCTTTGGTGGTGCGTGGGTAGCACTTGAGAATCAGCACCTGGTGCTTCGGTCGGCACTTTTGAGCAATTGCGTGCATCGTGACAGCGGTGAACACAGTGTCGCCCCAGATTCCGAAGGAGGGGGTTCAGATAGGGGGGTTTTGGAAGCTCACGGCAACAGCCGCGGTTGCAGGGAAGCCGGCACGCGTAAACGTGTCCCGACCAACTCCCGGAGGGCCGTGACAAGGCCAGATGGCCAAGAGAGGGCGGCAGACTCGGTGGTCCGAGAAGAGCGAGAAGGTGAGCGGTCGCGTCGGCGAGTCGAGAGCATGAATGGACGGCGGACGGAAAAGCGAGGCCGAAAACGAGCGAGATACGACAAGAAAGCAGCCACGGCGAGAAAGCGATAGCTGCGGACGTAGGAAGGCGAAGCAAGGCACAGTCAATTGACGTTGGCAGTGTCGGTGTTCAACGCGTCGACATCCGGTCGCTGGTGGCAGAAACTGAGGCCGAGCGGGTGTCACGGCAAACTGGCCACAAAAAACAATGACGAGGAGGATTTGGAGAGTTTGGAGGCGCTGTGGTCAGGGCGTGTGTGGGCTCCGGCGGGTGCCTTGAGCTGTCGTGGGCGTGGACGGAGGAGGCTGAACCCGAACTCCGCGGCCATTAAAAATCAAGATGCTATTCGAAATGAATCTGGAAAAGGGCAATGGGAAGCGTCAAGGTCCGTTTGTCGTCGCAAGGTGAGCTCAAGATTTGTTTGCTGGAAAAGGGGGTGGAGAAGGCGAAAGCAAATGAGGACAAGAGGAAAAGTGAGCACAGACGGAAAGAGCGCGGTGCAGTGAGCAGGGGCCTGGCCGCGCGGAGGAAGCAACGAACGAGGACCACATGGGGGGCCTACAGTGTCGTGATAGCGCATCGACCAAACATCACAGGGCCTGGACCAGGGGCGCCTGGAGCGCGTGGACGATACGGCTGAATATGCCCACTAAATTGCTGACCACAGAGCCACACAGAGCTGCTTAGAGGAACGCACAGGGGTACGCGTGTATCTGTTCTGCTGTCCTTCCTGAAATACAGCACGAACTGTGTTAAGATACTTCATCAATAGTGCCTTCTCATTCCGACTAGCGCAATCACTTTAGCACGGAAAGAGCCAACGGCTCACGCCCAGCGGACCACACCTCCTGCCATGTTATCCCCCAAACTAGCAACTATCAAGAGAATCAAAACCCAACGGGCACGCTTTCGGGCAACTGGCATCAGCTTTAGCGCGATTAAGGTATCCCTTGACGATAGGTTTAGCAGCCGTTTGCTGCATTTTAAGTATGTGTCCCAGACAAGACAGAGTTCGGATGGGCGCGACAAGACAAAAACAGAAAAAGGTTCCCGCGCTTGCTCTGTATTAAAAGAGCAGGCAGTCGGAAAAGTGCGCTACCGGCCAAGGAAAGAGCCACCTACTCGTGCCCTAACCTATTTGCGGCGATGGTTGGCCAAGCTGGCGGTACTTTTCTGCCATGATAATGCACAATGACGCCGTACTTTGTGCTCTGGATGGGCAGCCTGAGGACACGGCCGCACAGCTCTGACCTGCATCGGGCTTTCTGTCAGCCTAAACTTCTCTAAAGCGCACACATCCCACGTGTGTCTTACAGCACCCGCAGAAGGCGGGCCTTGTGCGGCGTCATTTCGTTGGGGAGAGGTTTGACGATTTGCCGTTTTTCAAAGGACGCAAGTTGAAATGGCCGGAAGACACCTGACTGAAGCTGGGGTTGCATGGCTGTCTCGCAGGTGTCATTCAAATGCTCTATTCGAAAACACAACAACTTCATGAGGTTACTAACATCTCTTCGTCTTTAGTCACGGCGCACCTGACAAGCCTATCACGGGAAGCAAACAGCAAAAATTGTTGGGGATGGCGAGGAAGAAATGCGCAATAGTTTAATATTGCCAGACTAGTGTACCATAAAGAGCGCAGCACAAAGGCCGGCATGATCCTCGTACGTTTGTCTCTTCCCGTCCCATTTCAGCCTTATGACCAAGTTGCAGGACAAAACGACACGCTGCAGGGATGTGTTTTCTGGCCTGCGGAACATGCGTGTTGCTACATTTCGGCGTATGGGACATGTATCCATAGTTCCGGCCTCATTTTGGTGTGTCATGGCAGTGTATGTTTCACTGTGATAAAATTTGCCATATGTTTACATTATGAAGTGAGCCTGCCTGTCATACGTGACTCGGTCGCTCAAGAAAACTTGTCGGACATGGAAGTAAATGCTGGCTCAAAACGTTTACCTGTTCGTAGACACCGCCAATCCAAGCCAGCTAAAATGTATTACGGCGCATTGTGTACGGACAACGTGGGACGAAACAGAGACGTATTTGGCCACGTCTAGATGTCTCTCACATTAGCGGTGCGCTAGCATTCGCTCCGTGGGACCTTCCGCCTCTAAACCTTCAATTTGTCTTCACTCTTCAAACTAAAAAACATTGGGCAGTTTCCAAGTGTGCACTTGATTTTGAATTTTGAGCTCTTAAGTTTGACTTGCTAACATTGAGGCTATAAACCGACGCTGCTGAACCATACTTTTTTCCGGGAAGCTAAATCCTTCCCCCCAGCCGAACTCTGTAGGTATTCTGTTCTACCTAAATATTAGCTATCTTGCGCCAACCTTAAACCATACTGTCGTCGTGTTCAGCATGCTCGGCATTTTCGCGAGTGTGGCCGGTTGTTGGCTTCGACCAGGGGCTGCCCATCTCCTCTATATCGACGCTTTGGTTCATCCAGACCCTCAGCTGTTCCGGCGATACGACGGTGTCTCGGTGTAGGCGGTCCAACTGCACCGATCGAGCAACGGGCGTCCGTGCAGTGCCGCAGCCCAAGCTAGCTGTCGATGCACAGAGGCCTTGTGAGGTCATAGTGCGAAGGCCAGGATTGTCAGTTGTCGGTAAGTGTTCTTGGCCCTTGCCTGGTGGCGAGTGCGCGCTGTCTGACCTTGTCGAGCTGTCATGAACCAGACCGGCTTGCCAGGCTTGCACACGAGACCACTGTCCGGACCCATCAGACTGGAGAAGTGGCGCATCGTCTTCTACCTCCTTTAACTTCTTTGCGCGCGCTAGAGCTGGGAGACCAAGACCAGCCGGGCTTCCAAACCCGCCATCGATTTGATCTCGCTTCTGGGCTCGGGATGCCGATGTCTCGCTTTCAAATGTCTTCATGCTCTCCCGGAGAGCGCGCTGGAAAGGACTCTTCCCGCGGAAAAAATACTGCGGCGACACAGCTGTCTGACCACCGGCCACTGGGGACAATTTCTGGGGGTCTGGGAGGCCTGGGTCAGCAGGGGTTGTTGGGGCCGACTGGAAGGCGAACAAAACATTCTCGGCTTTGTCTCCGTCATAAAACGGATCGTTGCTGCTTGTCTGGCCCTTCGCGGTAGTCTCTCTGCTCTCCTCGCGGCAGACATTTTGCAAATTTAGGCTCAACTCCTGTAGGCGGCGAAGGGCAGCGGGTGCAATCGCCTGCCGGGGAGTGGCTCCACGGCCGCTGCCAGCGAGCGAAGGTGACGACGAAGACGACGACGACGACGACGAGGAGCTGGGAGAGACTTGTGCTGCTCGCCGCATACGGATCCCAGACGCCAGTAACTCAGCATCTCTGTCAGTCAACTTCCGTGGTGCAGCGCTCATTGGTTGGGTCTGTGGTGGATGGTGTATGCCGTTGTGCGTTTCAACTCCGGAGGCTGCAATCGGCGTTGGGACTTCGGTCTGGCCGTTGCTTTCGGTGATCACAGGCAAGTGCCGTGGCGCAAATTCGCTCGTTGGTTGCCGATTGCTTGCTGTCGACGATACCCGACGCACTGAGCTAGACCAGCTCGTGAACCGGGATGTCTCACCGCTCGCTTCGCTTTGCGCCGCCTGCCCGGCCCCGTATGCGCCGCGGACGATCGTTCCGGACCCGTTGTGCTCGGAATTGGTATGCAAGTCGTTTGAAAAGGACAATCGCATCGCACGTTCCGACATAAATTCTTGCCCGCTGAAGGCTTCCCCGAGCAAAGGGGCTTCTATATGCTGGTCTGGCACCTGCTCTGAGACACAGTCACTTTTAGAGTGATTCCAGAAACTTCTCAGTCTCATCTTAACTCTTTTCGACACTCTTCTCGCTGTTCGGCGCAGGCTTCCGGTGTTGCTGGACTCGTTTCCAAACCCTTCGATTCCTTCTTGGGCACTAATATCGGGTAGTGGTCGGTCAGGTATTATACTTGGCCGTGATGTCTGGGGTTGATTCTGCCGAAGCGACTTGCGCATGCCCCTTTGTTCTGTGCGTGGTGAGCGCAAAGACAGGCCCTTGTGAGATGAATTAATAGTGGATGGTACTGCTGAGAATTTGTCCTCGCCATTGCTAGAGAATGAAAAATTGCGCTTCCGGGGAGCCCGCAAGAAGCTTCTTGATATTGTCGGACATGGTGGAGGTATCGCTGCCCTCCCCACGATGACATCTGTCTCCGGTTGATGTTGAATGCACCGGTTGTGGGTATTCTGCAGGGAAGGTACTGCCAGAAGCGGCTGCCTCTGAGTTGCACTATACTCTCCTGACCTCTCGTGCTTGTGCTCTTGAGCCAGGTATTCTGTAGTAACCGCGTCCTTAAAATATGCTGGCAGGCCAGAGGGATACGTCGTAGACTTGGCCGCTTCTGTGACTACTCGCAGCGATGCAGTACCAAAGGCACTCGCTGAGGTACCCTTGTTACGCAGGCTGCCCTTTGATGATTGGCGCGGCCAGTGCCTTTGGGTCATGATCGTGCGGCGCGGAGCAGAGCCAACGTGGATTGTGTTTCTTGCCATGGTCGTACTGGCTGCCGCATCTCCGAAATTTTCCTTGTTTCGGGCCTGCGGGGATGACCAGGTCTTGTTGATATGTTGCTTGTTCATAGGAGTGCTGGGTAGAGAAGACGTATACTGGGAGTAGCTGCTCTCGCTGGCCGCGAGGAACCGCGACGACGGGTGAATATCAGAGGAGGTCGTGTTTCTAAGTGGTGTTTGGTATGCTCCTGGCGTTAACCGCGTGTCGGCACGAGTTGCCTCCCGCCGTGCGGAGCTGGATGTCTGGCCGCCATTCTGCACAAAACGAATACTGCCGGTGTGTGGCCGACGGTCGCGCTGTGGCGCAGAGGGGCGTGCATCGCACCCGGAGTCACCATACTCGCTGGCCAGCATCCTAGTGCCGACTGAAGGATCGGGAAACAGAGTCTGTGGTACTTCGGAACCGCAATTCTCTCGGTCGTGGACAAACGCCTTGCTTGCAGCAATGTGTGCATCTCTCGTGGCATCAGTTGCATCCATGTGCTGGAGATGGACGCCCCGGGTACTTGATCGACCTTGGCCGGAAGCGTCGAGCCGTGGTCCTCGCATGGTCACCACTTGGTCAATCGCGAAGTGTGCCGGTTGGATACTAATTAGAAGCTTAGTAAAGCAGCCGTCGCGTAAAATAAATGGGCTGGAATCGTGTAGACAATAGAGGCTCGATAGTACAAGCAAAGAATGCGGTGATGATGTCGATGAAAATGGTGTATGGATAGAGGCGTCTGCAGATGACTTTGAGCACAGGCAGTGCATCTGAGATAAAGTAAACAAAGCGACAACGGAGAAAGGGGCGTTGGGCTAAGAGCAAATCGGCAAGCTATAGGTCCCGGAGCGGAAGGAGGAACCGACACACATAGGACGAATAAGGAAAGTACGTCGCAATTGTTTCCTTTACGCCCAAAAAGGCAACAAAATGCCATCCATTGGCAATCAGGGAAAGTGCAGCCGTCCAGAGTCTACAGCAGCGTCATTATCACAAAGCACGATAGCAAAGAACGATATAGGAGTGTTTCTTGCCTCAACAATGTTCCGTCAAGCTGTGTGCATACCGAGAGTCCCGGAAAAAGAGATGGGCCGGCGTGATACATATGAATGTTGGGTAGGAAAACCGGAATAAATGTAATTCGATTGCGAAACCAAAACGAAAGATGGTACAAATAGAGAGAACAGAGCGTACGTTAACGGTGCAGCCTAATCAAGATACAAAGCCCCAGCCTACTACAAAAACATGAATAAAGGAAAAAGGACACAAGAAAAAGGAATGCCAAAGGACTCGTGCATGCCAGGATCATCCGGCAGCCAGCACGTTTAGCACAAATGAAACAATTTACTGCTTCAGCTCCTCGAAGAACTCCTTCAGCTCCTCGTCGACCAGCTCGTGGATCTTCTCAGAGAACTTGTGAGCTTTGCGACCGAAAGCCGAAGCGCTGCCGACAACCTTGCCGGAGAGGATCTCAAGGTCTGCCTCGATGGCCTTCTCCAGCTCGGAGACGGAGTCAAGTACGACGCCGGAGGCGGACTTCTCGGCGACCTTGTTGGTGGTCGCATCGTAAGCACCCTCCTCGACAATGGACGTGTAGTTGCTGCATCCGCCACCGTTCCAGATGAGCAGGTTGGGGGTGTCAGCGGGGATGTCGGTCAGAGTGCCGACAGTCGAAACAGCAAGCAGGTTGGACTTGAGCTTTGCGGGGGTGATGGGGGCAACGGAGTACTCGGAGTCCGTGTCAGGCTGCAGAGACAGGTAGTAGGCCAGGAGACCGGCAACGTGGGGCGACGCCATCGAGGTTCCCGAGATGGTGTTGATCGCAGTCTTGCTGCCAATCCAGGTGGACTGGATGTTCAGGCCAGGGGCAAAGACGTCGGTGCACTTGCCGAAGTTGGAGAAGTAGGCGCGGCTGTCATCAATGGCCGAGGCACCGACGGTGACGGCGTTGGCAGCAGCAGCGGGGGAGTAGTTGCAGGCGTCGGCGTTGTCGTTGCCGGCGGCAACAGCAAAGTGCAGACCGGCGTTGACAGCAGCGTTCACGGCAGCATCGAGGGGCGTGGTCTTGCCACCGCCCAGAGACATGTTCGCGACAGAGCCCTTGAAGCCCTTGCGCTTGCCCTTCTTGGCAGCGGCAACCTGCTCAATGTGGCGCTGAGCAGCGAACTCGACGCCGGCAATGACGTCGGACATGGTGCCAGAGCCGTTAGACTTGAGCACCTTGACGGCGTACACATTGGCCTTCTTGGCGACACCGTACTTCTTGCCGGCAATGGTGCCAGAGCAGTGCGTACCGTGGCCGTTGCCGTCGACATCCTCGTCACCCTGGGGGATGGTCTTGCCCCAGTGGGCACGGCCGTCGAAGTCGACGTGATCGACGTTGGTGCCGGTGTCAATAACGTAGGCGTCAACGCCCTCACCACCCTCCTCGGCGTACAGGTACTTGTTGAAGGTACCAAAGTTCAGCGACTTGCGGTGGGACACACGGGCCAGACCCCAGGGGGCTCCCTTCTCGGTCTCGGGAGAGCAGCCAGACTTGGTGACCTCAATCTCCTGGTACTTCATCGTGTGGACGACAGTGTCCCGGTGGATGTACTCAACCTACATGAAGCAATAACATGTTAGCCAGTGTTGGGGTGCCATGAAGTGCGGATGGTAGCCTAGTACAGTGCTTGATGACGCATCGCGTGATCACCTGCCTTCGGCGATAAGAGGTTTGGAGAGAAGGAGGCGGCCGCGCACGGCAGATAAGCGGCAAGCTGAAGCTGTATCGACGAGAGGTGCGAAATGGGAAATGCGAAGCGGGAAGAATACTCACGTCAGGATGCCGGCGGACCTGCTCGATGATGGAATCATCGAAGTGACCAGCGTAGCCGACGAAGCCGCTGCCGATCTTGTAGGTGTGCTTGAGGCCACGGAAGACATCGTCGGCCAGCGACAGGCCAAGGCCACGCTTGCGCAGCTCCAGGATGCGCTCGTCCTTGTTCTCGGGGAACGTCTTCACCCAGGAGTCATGGATGTTCTTGACCCACGAGTGGTGGTCATTGGCGGTCTTCTCGTCGACGTGGTTCTTGAACTTGATGATGTATGCACCTGGCACCTCCTCGGCGTTCGCAGACGACAGAATGGGAGCAGCATCGCCGTGGATGGTCTCCGTATTGAAAGCAGGCGCCGCTGAGGCGACGGCGGCCAGTGAAAGAGCAATCAAGCCCTTCATGATGATGGAAAAGAGGGACGGGGAGTAGGCAATGCAGAGAGGTCAGACAGCGATGTCGGAATTCCGATTACCTCGCAGAGAGTGCGCGAGAAGCAGAGAACGGTGCAAAAGACGACGAAACACGAAACAGCAGAAAATCGACGATATGTAACAGGCCCCGGAGAGAATACGAGAGATGGATGACGACGGTAGGGGATGGAGAGGAAAGGAAGAGAAGAGAGAGAAGAAGCGGAAGTGGGAAGTTGGGGAAGGAGGAGGAGTGTTGGAATGGCGTAGATAAAGGAAGAGCGGGAAGGCGGAGGTGGTGGATGGGGTGGATGCACTGAGGCGAGTGAGTAACCCGCTAGCGAGCGAGCAGGTATCGCGTGAGGACCACACAGGTGCGCTTGCACCTTTGATTCCGAAGACAGCGGCACAAAAGATACCTGTTGCGTATTCGACGGTCGCTGTTGCCTCATCCAACAGCGTGACGCAGCACTGGTCGGGGGGTCCGGGTTCTGGTCAGACGGTGGCTCGTTGTCCGAAACGGGACTAGCGCACATTTCTAGCCAATAGGCTGACTGAAACGCGGAGGCGGAGTGTTTCCTCGGCAATGCGATAAGGGATTCGCACGGTGCGCTGGTTTGCGCTCTCCTTGGTGTCTCGTGTATGATGCGCAGAGTAGACGATCGCTGCAGGGAAAGGTACGACAGCTCAACGGATGCATCGCAATGGTCCACGGTCCGATCGAACGAGGAGGACGTTGTGCGTTCTCTTCCTCCAAAGACATCCCTACTGGAGAACAGAGTGAGCATTGGCTTCGCAGTGAGATGGCTGCCTTCTGGACGCCATTTGGAGACCAATAGATGACGTCTTCCCGGGGCAGAATTACAGCGCTTCGTGTCACTGGGATGGCCCGCTGAGCTCTCCGCACTGGGCAATTTATGGGGCAATCCAGGTCCACAGCTGCGGCGGATGAGACAGAAGATGCAGAGACGGCCGCTCTTTGCCCCAGGCTGATCAACCCAGGCCCTGGGAAGACCCATCGCTGGCCTCGCCTCACACACATGGCGCATGACCTCCCCAGGTCTTATTACCTGCCATCTTGGGAGCTCGAAGGAAACGGAGTATTATTGTGTCACAGAGGGCGTCGTTACCGACAAGTGAAGTTGCACAGTACAGCTGTTCAATTCTGTTGAGATTGGCAATATTTCGTACTGATAAAGCTATGATAGAGTGCGATAACCATCAGGATGATAGGCATCGTTAGTAACCAAGTCCGACGCCTGAAATCTTGCCAATGAGCGAAGACCTGCGATTGCGATAAAGCACCCCAGATAACAGAACAGCAGATACGGTGAGATGCACGTGAAATACAGATAGAGAGAGAGGGAGCGACCACACTTCCGCCATGATATATGCACGTTTAATGGGTAAAATGGTGCGTTGCGGGACGAGGTTCAGGCGATACAACGAGATAACACCAGCTGGAAGGGATGGGCACAAATACAGCCATCAAGGCACAGCGCCTTGGGTGGCGATGCGTGCGAGGTAATTTCAGCATTTATCGGCGTCATTGGCGTCTGACGGCCTCTTGGTTGTGGGTCGCCCAGAGGACGACAGGAATCCAGGCGAAAACGGAGAACCTAGGCACACGACAGAGAAAAGAGAGGGCGCCAGGGACGCCACCAATAGACGCAGGGCCAAGCGAGGCAGAAACACATCAGCAGGCTGCCTGGGCATGGCGGCTGGGCCAGCCTTGTTTCGGTTGACTTTGGCCGCCAGAAATATGGAAATACAGGTAGCATCTCGAGACTGCCTCATGGTCACAACCAAGCCACGGCTCTCTTGAATCTCTTGAAGTGCGCATTCTTTACGCATTCTTATTTCTACAGTACATTTTTAATTACAGGGCCTTTAAGCGAAGTATTTCTCTCTCTTCTTTGCACCCCCCCGTCGTTTCTCTGCTCCCTCAGCGCTTAAAAGCATTACTCGTGATCTAATCCTACCACTGAAGCCACAGCCAGTTCCACTATTAGTTGGCTCCTGCCTCAGCCTTTGCTGGCGAAAAGAGGGGCCCCAATACAACCAAGTTTGGCAGTAGCGGTGTTCACACACATCACAGTATGGCGGCAACCCTTTTGCACGTGACCAGCCATGTATAGTTGTCAGTCATCTCGCTATCTCAGCCTTCCGTTTGTCGGCCGCCTCTCCCCTCCAACTCTGCTGAACCCCTCCAATGACTCAAGTATTTTGGAGCACCGGTGCCTGTAACCGGCTCCTGTAACCGGCGCCAGTGAACGTTCACGCAAATCGCGACGTGCTACTGCCGTGCTCCGTAGATAATTTTTTTCTAATGTTTGGTCGGAATTGACGGTCACCAAAATCTTTCAACAACCAATTCGATTCTACCACGTCCATTGTCTCCAATCTACCGTCACAATGTCTTCCCACAAGTACGTACCAACCGCCGGCACTCGTAAAACTCTCACTGTTAAGTTTTGTTCGCTCACAAAACGTCTCTTTGGCCTCTAGGGTGCTTATGTTGGGTGCAGGCTTCGTCACGAAGCCCACTCTCGAGATTCTCGCCAAGTCCGGTGTCACTGTGTCCGTCGGTATGGAGTCCCTCTGTCTCTGACCTCTGAGCTGCATTCGCCCTCCTCTAACCTTGTACGGACGCCAGCCTGCCGCACACTTGACTCTGCCAAGAGCCTCTCGGCCGGCATCCAGAACGCCGTGCCCATCTCCCTTGACGTGACCAACAACGATGCCCTCGACGCTGAGGTTGCAAAGCACGACCTGGTCATCTCCCTGATTCCCTACACCTTCCACGCTACCGTCATCAAGTCGGCCATCCGCCAGAAGAAGCATGTCGTCACCACCAGCTACGTCTCGCCTGCCATGCTCGAGCTTGACCAGCAGTGCAAGGACGCCGGCATCACTGTCATGAACGAGATCGGCCTGGGTACGTTTGTATTTCGAGACCCATAACGTTTTTTGCTAATTTGACTAACCAATTGCTATTGTAGACCCTGGTATCGACCACCTTTGTAAGGCTTTGCTCTACGGATTCCAGTACCTAAACCGCCTCAACACTCATACCTTGCGACTAACCTTTTCTCCCAGACGCTGTCAAGACCATCGATGAGGTCCACAAGGCCGGCGGCAAGATCACGTCGTTCCTGTCGTACTGCGGTGGCCTTCCCGCCCCCGAGGACTCCGGCAACCCGCTGGGTTACAAGTTCTCCTGGTCGCCCCGCGGAGTCCTTCTGGCCCTCAGAAACGCTGCCAGCTTCTACAAGGACGGCAAGGTCGTCAACGTCGATGGTCCTGGTACGAAAACGTTTCCACGAGGCGGATTGTCGATTTCTTTGATTTTACTAACAACAATACACCAGATCTCATGGCCATTGCCAAGCCGTACCACATCTACCCTGGCTTCGCCTTCGTTGCCTACCCCAACAGAGACTCGACTGGCTACAAGGAGCGCTACAACATCCCCGAGGCCCAGACTGTTATTCGGTATGCCAACTCGAGGTCACCTCGCCACTGATTTTTGTCATGTTTCCGTGCACACCAGCTAATCCGCTCCCCGCAGTGGCACTCTGAGATACGCCGGCTTCCCCGAGTTTGTCAAGGTCCTTGTCGACATCAACTTCCTCAAGGACGAGGAGGAGAGCTACTGGAAGGACGCCATCCCCTGGAAGGAGGCTACCCAGAAGATCCTGGGCGCCAAGTCCACCAACGAGGAGGACCTCGTTGCTGCCATCGTCTCCAAGACCAACTTCGCCGACGCCGATCAGAAGGACCATATCCTGGCCGGCCTCAAGTGGATCGGTCTCTTCTCGGACGAGAAGGTACAGCATCTATATATCTCTTTTTGCCTTTTTGTTATGTCGACCTTGCACACTCTAACGCGCTGCCTAGATCATACCCCGTAGCAACCCCCTCGACACCCTCTGCGCCACCCTGGAGAAGAAGATGCAGTACGCCGAGGGCGAGCGCGATCTCGTCATGTAAGTACCCTTCGATATGTACAAAGCTATATTCTGAACCATGCGAACTACGTTATACTAACCGACACCCTCAGGCTGCAGCACAAGTTCGAGGTCGAGCTTGCTGACGGCACCAAGCAGACCAGACTCTCGACTCTCTGCGAATACGGCAGCACCGACCCCAACGGCTACTCCGCCATGGCCAAGCTGGTCGGCGTGCCCTGCGCCGTTGCTGTTCAGCAGGTCCTGAACGGCACCATCTCCGAGAAGGGTGTCCTGGCTCCCATGAACGCCAAGCTCAACGATCCCCTCATCAAGGAGCTGAAGGAGAAGTATGGCATCTACTGCAAGGAGACCATTGTCTAAATTGAACATTGCGCCTGGGTTTTGGATGTGAAAAATACAAGAGTTTATAGAAAAGGAGACTGTTTCAATAAATTCACGTCGCTTTTGGTTCAATATTGCTGAAAAAAGACTGGTATATCGTGCATTACCAAATAAGTGCATGCATGTCGATCGGTTGTAATTTTTTTATTTTTATTTTTTTTTAAAAGAAAAAATCACGAAATAAAATGTATACACCCTTGATAGAGAAAGACGCAAAATCAAAACATTTAAAAAGAAGGTAACTGCAACAAGGTTCACCTGGAAATCATACTTAAATTATGCGTATATTGTTGTTTGCAGTCCATATACCTGCCACCTGATTCCATCCTCTACTACGATTCCGAAGCGTGGGATGAAATCAAGAACGACTTTATTTACTCGTCGTTACTCTAGCAGTGCAAGCGCTGACCAAAAGTCGCACCATGGACAATAATAGCGAGAGTGTGCAGCCTCGGGCCATGCCAATCAACAGATGGCCCCGAATCGTCTTCGACCTCTTTTATGACACGCACGACTCAAAGACAGGAGATCTGTCCGGGAAAATATGCTGCCAGTTTTCCGATTTGATTTTAAGAAGGACCGCGCTGAGCCATATTTCCTACTCTAGTGACGGACGGAGGACGAAATAAAAGTAAATGATGAGATCACGAATTTTCCATATCTTGAACAGGCACGACGAGGAGACGTCTTTTTGAGGATCTTGAGAACAAAAATTTACCGGTATACTGGAATTTGAGGATACGTGTGTAAATAGATCAATACTTGGCCATGTCTTGTGTTATTAGTCATCCGCTCCGGTGGCTATAGGCCCCTCGACCATGACGGTCTTTCTCGAAACAGGCGTATCGCGCAAAGCAGGAGCAATCGCGCCGCTGCTGCAACCATATACGGAAGGAAGACTCCTATACGGCATTTCCATACAGCTTTCATGCAACAACACTTCGGTCCACTGATTGGAGCAATGGCGAATCAATCCGGCACAGGGCATGGTTTGGGTAAACGAGATCTGCTTTCTGAATACGCGCACTTGCTTTCGCAGATCCTGCAAAGCGGCAAGCAGGCAGCACTTGCGATCCTCTCAGTGCAAACCAGAATCATTCGGTGGCAACTTCGTATTAGCCAGGTAATAGCTGCATAACACGAAGCAGGGGGTTCCGTAGCGGCATAATGAAAATTATGACTGCGAAGACTGGCCGCTATTCTCAAGAGCATCAGTATCCTGAACAGTTATCTCTAGATCAAGTCCGTAAAACTGCACTTGCCCTGAACCCCATTTCGAGGCCTGTCGTAGTTTGATCTTGCCTGTTCAGGACTGAGGTTGACTCCTTCCGCCGTCTACAGCTCTGCTCTCCCTTCAGTCCTCCACTAAGCGTCAGGTGATCCTGTTTACGTGCTGCGCCGCGGCCAGGCTGCCGCTAAAACAAGGCTTCCCGATAGCTCTTTCACTGTTACGGAAGGTCTGTGTCTGGACCTGTTACAGCCCCTCCCTTGTTCCCCACAAAGGTGTGTCGTCCGTAAATAGTGCTGAGGGCAGGATGCGTTTGGGAGGATTGGACAGTGGGGCGTCCTTTGGCAGACATTGGCATGCGCGCAGCACCGAATTTCTATCAAACTCTCCTCGAACAAAAACACAACGCTAATCCTGTGATAGAAACAACCGACCTCCCACTTTGTACCATCAGTTGCACTCCTCCCTTCCTGCTCGACCGGCAAGACGCCTCTGTTGCTGGCAAGCCACCGTGAACGAGGCACTCTAGACCTCTGTCTGACCTGTCTTATCTCTTGGCTTCAGAGCTCCTCCAACGGCTGAAAAAAAAAGAAACAACAGACAAAACACCAGCAAATAAGCTCACTGACAGCTTCGAGACGAGATTTTTGCGGCCCTGGACGCGCCACAACTCCACCCAGGCCAACCTTGGCATTGTCGTGTGCTGCCCACCGACGATACGGACGCAAAAGCATGAGGTGCGGTGCCAGAACGGACGGTTGGGCGAGCACCAGAAGCGCCAGAAGCGCCAGCCGCAGCCAACAAAGCGAGGTGTGAGACACTCAAAACCAGACGGACACGTTGAACGAAACAATAGACTACATACCCGAAAAGACGACACGAAAGACGGCGCTTTAGACGGCGCCGTAGACTGGGAGGAACCTCGATCTGTCAACTATGGCGACACGGCCGAGCCGGTATCGGTCGTCGACCTCAGCGTCGAACCAGCTGGCGACGAGCAAAGCGGCCGAGGTTCTCCAAAGCCTTCTTCACGGCGTTCAGGCCGTGATCTCGCCGCCATCCTCCTCTCCAGCACGGCCGCTGTTGCTACCGACTGACCAGCCATCGACAGCGCCGGCAAGGAGACAAACTGTTAGCGGCTTCCCAGACATCCAAGCCCTACTCAAGTACGCCCGCCAGATTCACCAGTACCTTACCGCTCTGCAACCACCAAACACCGCGCAGGATGACTTCCGACATATGCACGGCTTCCAACTGCTCTTGAGCGTCCTACGGTCCTTCTCCGGCTACTACAACCCGCAAGTGCGCAGTGATGCGGAGAAACGCGCCCTCTTTGAGCTGCTCCACGTGGTGCTGGCTGTCCTGTCTGCTGCCTTCCGGGGCCACCACGGCAACCGGCGCTACTTCCGGCATCGTGTCGAAGGCGGCGGCTGGGAGGCCCTGGAGCAGATCATTGCTAGCATCGGCCTCGGCGTGAGCGACTCGGACATGTGGGGCAATTGCCAGCTATTTGGCAAGCTCCTCTCCTTTGCACTCGACGACCAGCGGATGGACGAGCTCTGCCAGTGGATAGCCACTGTTTCCATTGCCAATTCGTCCAAAGCCAAGGCCACAGCTACGGCCGGTGGTGCACCAGAAGCAAAACAACACGAGAGCACACAACAAGACACAAAGAAGAATGGAGATTTACGGACAGAGGACAGCGACAACGCCGCGGGTAGGGATGAGGTTGCGGCTGAATCAAAGGAGATGGATGGGTCGACTGTGACGGACGAAAACGAAAGCTTCGAGCATGTCAGCAAGGAAGACGCACTGGAAGACGCAGCAGAAGATACGACGAAGGCAAAGGACGCTGCGCTGTCGGGTGCATTTGACACTGCGCACATGAAGACGAGGCTCAGCGACATCATTGCGCCCAAGACGGAGCTACAGAATGCCGAAGTGATGCGCACGGTCATTGGCTTCTGGGAGTGCATTCCGCGGAGTCAGGCTGCCGAGACGGATCCCATCTCTCTGCTGGTTCTCGACACCGTCGCGGCGTTGCTGCACATATCTCTTTCCAACCTGTCAGCTCTCCACAGCACCGGCATTCTGTCCCGCTTCCTCCGGCTGTATTTTGCTGTACCATCGCCGCTCAGCACCGAGGAACGCGAGCGAATTCTCCCCATCTGCCGGTCGCTGATGTACCTCGGTGTCAACCAGCTGTCCGATGCCCAGTTCTTGCTCTCGAGCACAGATCCAGCTGCATCCGTCTTTTGTCTAGATGTGGCCTCGAAATATACCGGCCCCCCATTTGTGCAATTCGATCTGTCCCACTGTGGCCACTCATCCATCGAGCTGCCCAACCTGGGCCGCTCGTTCCCGCCCATGGCCGGCAATGGCTACACGTTCACATGCTGGATGCGTGTCGACACATTCGACCGCAAATCACACACCACAATTTTTGGCGTGTTCGACGCTTCGCAAACCTGCTTCCTTCTTCTGTATCTTGAGCGTGACACCCACAACTTCATTCTCCAAACCTCCGTCACGTCGTCCCGGCCTAGTGTCCGCTTTCGGTCTGTCAGATTCAGCGAGAAGCAATGGTATCACGTTGCTCTTGTGCACCGCCGTGGCAAGACGCGCGCCTCACTCTATGTCAACGGCGAGTTCGTGGAGCAGGTCAAGGCGGCCTATCCCGTACCGCCGCCGACAGTACCTGGCGGGACTTCCGAGAGCTTCGTCTCCTTTGCGAGCAACAACCGCGGAAAACCCATCCCCGTCCAAGCCTTCCTAGGAACGCCTAAGGATCTATCTGTGCAGGTGGGCTCGGACTCCAAGTGGTCCTTGGCCTCCGCCCACCTCTTTGAAGAAACGCTCAGCGATGACTTTATTGCTGTGCACTTCCGGCTCGGTCCCCGCTACCAAGCAAACTACCAGGACAGCCTCGGCGGTTTTCAGACCTACTCGGCATCGGCCCGTCTGGCTCTCCGCAATGATTTTCACGGGGGCAAAGACGAGAACTCGGACATCCTGCGTGCCATCCGCGATAAGGCCTCGTCCATAGCACCGGAACAGAAGATCTTGATGAGCACCCTGCCCCGCTCCACCTTCCGTATTGACGGCACGTTTTTCGAATCGCTCCTCTTCCGATCCCTTTCGCGAGCTTCGGCAGCGAACTTGCTCTCCCTCACTGCCAAGAGCGGTACGGCCATTGCTATTAATGGTGCCCTCCCCTGCATCAACGACGCGCTTGTGCGTTCCCACGGCGTGTCCATTCTCACTGGAGACCCCGTGCTGGCGACGCCATATAACTTTGACGACAATCTGTGGCGCCTTGCTGGCTTCTCATCACTCGCCTTGAAGCTGGTGGAGCGGACGACCACTGCCGAAGAACTTGTTCGTGCCACCGAGATGGTATTCCATTGCATCAACAGCAGTTGGCGGAATAGCGACGCCATGGAACGGGATAATGGATATGCTATCCTGGGCATGCTGCTGCGAGCAAAGCTGGGCAGCGCCCCTTCGTCGGCGCCGTTGCTTTTGGTCACCACGATTCCCCTTGCGTCTGAAAGCTCAAGCTGGAAGGCGGCACCAGTGACAGGTGACCGGACGGATACGAGCTTGCGTTTGCTCAAGCTTGTTCTTGCCTTTGTTGGCTACGACCATGCAAACCCTCTCGAGTCTCTCATAATCAATCCGTTGGCATATCGCATTCTCCTGATCGACTTCGACACATGGCGGAAAGCGCCGCCCGACACACAGCAGCTATACTACGAACAGTTTGACACGTTTGCCGTTATGAGCAAGTTCCATCAGTTCAACAGCCGGCGCCTTCTTCGGATGCGTACGTTGAACAATCCTTGTTGGATATTTTTCACTGCGGAGCCCTGATAAAGACCTCACTAACCTGTGCCATAGGAATCATTAAAAGACTACTCGACGCTATGAAGGTCGAGATGGTGTCCGAGGAGATTCTGCCACACTTCTTGAAATCGTTTGAGAGTCTTGTCCGGTGCAACTATAACGCCGAAGTCCACCGGTCACTTGCTCTCTACATCACATATGCGCTTCACTCCCCAGCGCCAACCCACATTTCCCGGACCCCACGACCACTTGGGGCGGGCGGCCAGTCCAGTGCAAGTTTAGGAAGCGGCCTGCAGCGACGCCATACAGGCGGGTCGTCGTCAGGACGTGGCGGCTCCGAAACTAGCTCCATGGCTCCGGCGGAAACGTCCAAGAGCCTGACCAAGAAGAAACTCGGCGTTCGCATCCTCAAACTTTACGAGCAACTCCTCTGCGAGGAGGGCGTCGTCGCTAACATCCGCAAGTTTGCCCGGACCGTTACTAACAAGTGGCTGCTGTGCCTTCTTTCGTTCGACGACCCTGACGTGCTGTTGAGCGGGTGCCGGATTTTAACTCGTCTCCTCGTCTCGCAAGGGCCGAGTTATGTACAGAAGTTTGCTAGTAAGTCTGGCGGCTTCTGGATCCTGGCGCACCGGCTCAAGCACTGGTGGGATGTTCCGAGCGTCTGGTTTTGCGTTATAGCGATCCTGTTTGGCAAAGACGTGGCCGGAATCGACTCCCTTTCGGGCCAGACACTTACCTTTGAAGCGCTTGTGTCTGAATTTGGTGCTGGCTCCAAGATTGTTTGCCCGGACGCCCTCTATGTTGTCGTAGCTATGCTACAGCAGGGGCTTGGCGACGTTCTAAAGTCGAGCGATGTCTCCTCCCCGAGCCCATTTGCGGATGAGAACAACAGCCCGGCTGTTGCAAGTGCTCCGGCGCCTGCTCCGGCTCCGGCCCCGACCCCAGCTACTGTTTCTGCCACCGCCAAGAAGGCTACTGTCCTGGATGCTGTTGTGAAATTTTTGTCAAATCTGCACGCGTCTTCGGTCGAGTTCCGCGACTCTACGCTGGCTTCCGATTACGTGCGACTTTTGTCGTCCGCTCTCTTCCCTGCTGTTGTGAACATGGAGGCCCTCGCGCCCGAAACAGAGCTCAACTCCAAGGACGCGCCTCTGCGGTTCGATGGCGCCGACATCGTCGTTAGGCAGCGACCAACCTCCGCCGCCATGGTTCGCACGTCGAGTATCAACTCGAACCTGAGCTCCAGCCTGCATTCGACGATTGGCGGGTCAACTTTCGACGTGGCCGCTGACTCTGCCGTCCTCGCCTCCACCGAATCGATCCCCTCGACCGCTGGCCGGCCGGGACCTTCCACCGCAACCCGAGAACGACGTTCGTCGTCATTTATCCTGCTGACCACGCAAGCCGCACCTCCGTCGTGGCACACGGCCAAGCTCGCGGTGCACGCCTCCCCAAAGAGACAGCTAGTCGTCATTCCGCAGCAAGGCAGCAATGGCCTGCAGGAGAGCTTGATGGGCCTGATTGTCGACGGCTTCGTGGACCAAGTGCTCGTCCGCAAAGAGTTTCCGGGGTTCAACCTCGGCCTTCGGACCCCTCCATCCTTCCAAGAGCACCAAGCATACTTTGAGTCGGCCATTCTGCGAAGCACGATCCTGCGCGTCAAGGATGTTTTGCAGCGTGACCTGCGCATTCTCTGCGAGCCAAAGGTGCTGACAAACATGGCACGCTTCACTGCTCACATGGTGGAGGCGACGTTCGACGGCACATTCGTGAATAGTGTCGACGTTCTCATGGATTTCACCGGCTTGATCCTCGAATACCTGCACCGGCCCGATGTCGCGTCCCTGAAAAGTGTTCGGCTCTGTAACCAAGCCGTCATGTCCATCCGGACGTCTTTCCTCAAGCTCGTGCTTTTCCGCCTGTCCGACGTCGAAGCCGAGATCGAACATAGCAGCGGGCAACAACCCGACATGGTGGCTGCGCTGCCTGTGCTGGAGCGAATATTTTACTGGCAGTCTGTTCTCATAGACTGCTTGTCCACTGAAATCACATCTGACGAATACCACATGAAGTTGCTGTTCTACCAGCTTTACGCGCGCCTCCTTGACCCCGACGAATCCGTCCGGCTGGCCGCAGCCAGCATCTGGCGGGTCATCCTGGTCCAGAAGCCAAACGAGTCCGCCACAGTTCTTCGTTCCTGCGCCACCACCGACCAGCTGCACCTGGCGCGCTCGTTCCGGGCCTTGACTGAAGTTGACGACGGCACGTTCCTTGAGTGGGTCGACAAGCACCGTCCCTCGCTCGACGCCTTCTTCCTTGGCGGCATGTCCAAGTTCTGGGAAGATTTTGTGACCAGCGAGAACCAGCGGGCAGCCGACGCGATTAAAACACGCATCGCCCGTCGCCGCGACAAGCTCAAGCAATGGCAGCTGGAGACCCAAGAGCGCAGCAACATTCTGCTGCGCCATGAAATGGCCAACAGCTCGTGGATGAAAAGTATCTATGGCACGGAGCACTTCAAGCTGCAGCGCGTCCTGCAAGATCAACAAGATGACCTCACGTACCTGGCCACCACCTTTGGCAAGATGGAGCGGGACCTGAAGCGCCCGGGTGCCGTGTTTTCTGCATCCGGCGCCCCGACAAAATGGAAGCTCGACCGCACAGAAGGCCGCAACCGCATGCGCCTTCGACTGCTCCCCGACTCGTCTGACCGTGTCAAGAACATCTCCCAGTCTAAGAAGAAGGCCACGGACTCAGCAGCAGCAGCAGCAGCCACACCCACATCGGCAGGAGGCAACACAAATGGTAGTGGTGGTACACCTGTGTCCGAGTCCGCCCAGCCGGCATTGTCTACTGTACCTTCCAATGCCTCCGCGACGTCAACAGCCCCTTCGACAGCCACCCTGCGGCCTCTGGACACCACAAGTAGTGCAACTGGCGGAATTGCGGTTACGCCAATGTCGTCCAAAGAAACACCTGTTGACCCATTCTCTGCGGTCCAGGTCCCTGAAGGGGCAGCTGCTAACGGCATGCCCAGCGGTGCTCTGCAGGCCCCAGGGCCGGCGCCAGGAACGGATGCCGGCGTGGCCCCGGAAGAAGACTTTGAGCTGATTGACGATCCGAACGAGCCAGATGGTGAGGATGGCTTCGAGGACAAAAACCGGAAGGTCATGCGTCGCCTGGAGCAGGGCGACGTCGTGCAGAATGTGTACAACGTGTCTCGCATCATTGGCCTTGATGCTTGTGAAGGTATTCTCATCGTTGGCAAGGACGCCTTGTACATTATGGACAATGTGTTCCAGTGCCGCGACGGTGAGATTGTGAATGCTTGGCAAGCACCCGCCGACGAGCGCGATCCATTCTCGCAGATTATCGCCGCGAAGCCAACCAACAGCCACGACAAAGACGGCGCAGCCAACAACAACGTCAACGGACAGCCGCACTTCCAAGGCGTCGAGCAAGAATCACGAAGCTGGCGATGGTACGATGTGATCAGTGTGTCCAAGCGGCGCTTCCTCTTCCGCGACGTCGCCATTGAGCTCTTCTTCCGCGATGGTCGGAGCTATCTCTTGACGCTGATTGACAACGCGAAGCGCGACGACGTCTACGGCCGACTGATGGGCAAGATCCCTCACGCGAGCGGACCAGCAAACGCACTGCCCAACCCAGAAGACGCGTGGCGCCTCGAAGGGCTCCGGGTAGCGGAAGAGGGGCCGCAGACGCTGGGCTCCAAATTCGGCAGCATCTTCAACTCGTCGCCGTGGAGCCCGTCTATGCGGCGGTGGCAGAAGGGCGAGATGTCCAACTTCCACTACCTGATGCTGGTCAACACGATGGCCGGCCGCACGTTCAACGATCTGACGCAGTACCCCGTGTTTCCCTGGGTGCTGGCGGACTACACCAGCAGCGAACTGGACCTGACCAACCCGGCGACATTCCGCGACCTGTCCAAGCCGATGGGTGCCCAGACGCTGCAGCGCCAGTCCGATTTCGCGATGCGCTACAGCACGCTGGCGGAGATGGGGCAGCCGCCGTTCCACTACGGAACACACTACTCGTCGGCCATGGTCGTGTCGTCGTACCTGATCCGACTGCCACCGTTTGTGCAGTCATTCTTGCTGCTGCAGGGCGGGCATTTTGACCATCCCGACCGGCTTTTCTACTCCATTGAGGGCGCGTGGCGATCTGCCTCGCATGACAACGGCGCCGACGTGCGGGAGTTGATTCCGGAGTTCTTCTGCCTGCCCGAGTTCTTGGTCAACATCAACGGGTACGATTTTGGGCGGCGACAGGACGGCAGCAAGATTGACAACGTGCTGCTGCCGCCGTGGGCCAAGGGCGACCCGAACATATTTATTGCGAAGCACCGCGAGGCGCTGGAGAGCCCGTACGTGTCGCAGAACCTGCACAAGTGGATCGACCTGGTGTTTGGGCACAAGCAGCGCGGCGACGCGGCCGTGGAGAACCTCAACGTGTTTCACCACCTGTCGTACCACGGCGCCATCGACCTGGACAACATCAAGGACCCGCAGGAGCGTGCGATTGTTACGGGCATCATCCACAACTTTGGGCAGACGCCGCGCCAGGTCTTTTCCCGGCCGCACCAGGCACGGGAGCACGACGCGTGCCCCATCCGGCGCATCGACTCGGTCGCCGACTCGCTTACGCGCATCCCGCACCCGATCCTGGAGAGCCGAGAGCGCGTCGCGTCGCTCATCTATGTGGCGAAGCTCGACCGCCTGCTGTGCGCGTCGCCGTTCCGGCTCAACCTGCCGCCGTTCTACGACAAGTATCTCGAATGGGGCTACACCGACAACAGCGTGCGGTTCTACCACAGCGACAACCGCAAGCTGGCGGGTCTGTTTGAGAACCTGCACATCGGCCAGATCTCGTGCGTGGCCTTTGCCGACTCCAAGACGCTGATCACGGCGGGCGAGGACTGTGCCGTGTCCGTGTACGCGGTGGTGCAGTCGGGCTCGGGCAAGCCCGTCGAGCTGCTGACGCGCAGCTCGCTCTTTGGGCACAAGACGCCGGTGACGACCGTGGCCGTGTCGAATGCGTTTAGCACGCTGCTCACCGTCAGTCAAGACGGCGTGGCGATGCTGTGGGACCTGAACCGGCTCGAGTTCATCCGCAAGCTGCCGGGCGCGCGGCCGGTGGAGTGCGCGCGGATCAACGACGTGACGGGCGAGATCATGCTGTGCTCGGGCCCGAACGTGGTGCTCTACACGCTCAACGGCGAGCCGCTGCTGGACCAGAATGTGTGCGACGGCGGGCCCGAAGACTACGTGCACTCGTGTGCCTTCTACGAGGGAGCGGGCAACGAGTGGCTTGAGAACTACCTGGTGCTGACGGGCCACCGGTGTGGGCGTGTTAACATCTGGCGCAAGACCGTCGGCCCGCGCGGACGGTGGGTGCTGGAGCTGGAGCGGCGGCTGGACCACGTCGATCCCCGGTCGGAGAACGGGGCGAATGTGGACGCCGCCATTACGTGCATCACGCCGATGCCGCAGGTCGTGTACACGGGCGACGACGACGGACGTGTAGTAAGTTTCGTCTTTGACCCCGGCTTTTGGTACGTCCTTGGATGAGTGACTAACGTGACACAGTATGAATGGGGTTTGATTCACAGAGACAGATAGAGAGAGACGGTACAAAGACGGCGGCAGCATTACAGAGTCGAGACAACCCCAGCGAGGGGCAGCATATATACACTCTGAGAGCATTATATTGAACCGGCGTTTTGTGTCCCTCCGTATTGTTGGAGCACGTTTCTTGCTCATTCGATTTCTGGCAAGCAAAGGTTATCTTGCTTAGGAGAATATCATTCTAGCATTTTTGTAAATTACCAAACTTGTCACAGGGCACTCCGGTGCCGGACTCTGGCCGGCCACGAGCGTTGCAGATGGTCATGGTGTTTGTATTGGTTTTGCGGCATATATTCGGTCTTTCTTGTCACAGAGAGGACCCGCCGTCGTCTTATGTACAGTACAAAATGCTCTCGGCATGTTTGCAATTTTTTGGCCATCCACGGCAGGGCTGCGCCCGTCGTTGTCTTTGGCTGCCGCGTCGCATGCTTTCGCTGAAAATAGAATGCCCGTGGGTTTTCTTGCTTCCGTGGTATTGGTTCGCTCTTCTTCGTCTACAATTTTATACCGGAGTCTTGCTCACTTGTCGTTGGCATCGTCGTCGAAGCCCGAGAGCTGTTTCCTGGGACCCGAGGGGACTACACACGTTAGCAAGGACAGTCCAGCTACGGGACCCAGTATAGACAGAGAGTGCAATCCCTGGCGTGGCACATACTCGGATATGTCATAGGGATGGCGGGCGGGTTCTCGTCGCCAATCAGGCGGCGGATCGGCGGTGCAATGACAAACGACAACGGCGCGCCGGCTGCGATCACGCACGACCAGAAGTAGGCCGGACGCTCGCGGGCGGCCCAACGGCAGTAGCGGATGGGGCCGGCGTAGAAGCGGGGAATGGTGGACGACATGGTGGGCGTGAGATGTGTCGCGGTGGTGGTGGTGGAGGTGGAGGAGCAGTGACGAAGACGAAGAAAGCCGAGGAGGACTGGTTCGCGATGCCACTCCATAAGATGCGGGCCCAATTGGCTCATCGCTGATTCGAGGGAAGGAACGCAAAGAAAGGCTCGGATTAACTTCGACCGGATTAATATGACTAAGCCGAGTCGCCGCAAGGCGAAGGAAGCTCCAAGCCAGTGAGCTCTTGCGTTTTGCAGCTGGGCCCACTTTCGAGCCTTCCCCGTCTCCAATGCAATGCGTCCCCTGGCACCTTCCCGCGCTAACGATGCTGCTGGATACGTATCCTGAAGGGAAGCTCCAGTTAACACGCGGCTTGCCTGCTTTGGGGGTCAGCCATTGGGACACCGTTTTCCCTATTTCACGATCCACGACATCTTCAAATTTACAGACATCTGCCAAGCGGACACCCAGCTCGCGTGTCTTTTCTCTTCCATTCTTCATTTCGTTTCCCTTTTCGGCCGTCTGCTCGTGTCAATTGTTTGTTTGCGGTTGGCAAGCCAGGGGGCATTTGTTGGTAATTGCTCGGCTTGTATCCTCCATATTTCTTTTCGGCCAAAACGAAGCATCACAACATTCGACACATTGGCCGTCACATCGACGCTCGACGCCGCAAGCCTGTCGTTGGCGCCTCGGCTATCTCTCCGAACCCTCCTTGTCATCTATATCCACTCACAACGCCATGAAGCTCCTTGCGTCCGTCCTTTCCCTCCTCGCCGCCGCCGTGTCGGTTGTGCAGGCCGTCAGTGCGTCTGGGCCAAGGCTTTTGGCTGTTCTCGACGATCTCGCCGACAAGGACACGTACTCGACCTTCCTTGGCGATCTTGAAGGTGCGTCACTGCTTCGTCACGCTGTCGTGTATCTTGACTACAGTGTCTGAACGTTGTCTTGCTAATACCAACTCCGCCCTTTAGGTCGTGGGTTCAGCGTCTCCTACGAGACGGCAAAGAGCAGCACTGTCTCGCTCTTTCGCCTCGGCGAGCGTGCATATGACCATGTCATCTTCTTCCCGACAAAGGCAAAGGGTGTGTACTCGTCTCGGTCTTTTTTTTTTTTTCACTGCCCACCCTCTAACTCTCCATCCAGGCCTTGGCCCCAACTTGACCCCTCAGCTGCTCGTCCAGTTCCTCAACGCCGAGGGCAACATCCTTGTGGCCCTCTCCAGCGCCAACGCCGCCTCCTCGTCTATCGTGTCCCTCCTGAGCGAGCTCGACATATCCCTCCCCTCTGACCGCACTGGCCTCGTCGTCGACCACGTCAACTACGACTCCCTCGCCGCTGCCGACCACCACGACGTCCTTCTTCTGCCTGTCCCAGCCGCGCGCTCTGGCATCAAGTCGCTCTTCGACACCCCCGCGTCCGCCAGTGGCGAGCAGCTGCTCGCCTTCCCTCGCGGCGTCGGCCACGTCCTGGGCGACAGCCCCTACCTCGCGCCGATCGTGTCCGCCCCGCGCACCGCCTACAGCTATAACCCCCAGGAGCAGGCCGATGCCGTGTCTGGCGGCCCCGACAGCGAGCTCTTCGCGTCTGGTGCCCAGCTGAAGCTCGTGTCCGGCCTGCAGGCCCGCAACTCGGCGCGCTTTGCGCTGCTGGGCTCGGCCGAGCTGCTGTCCAACACCTGGTTCGACGCCAAGGTCAAGCTGCCGGCCGCCGGCGCCAAGACCGTCCCCACCTACAACCGCGAGTTTGCCCGTCGCCTCGCCGGCTGGACCTTCCAGGAGACGGGTGTGCTGCGCGTCAACTGGATCGAGCACCACCTCAACGAGCACGGCGCCAGCAACGCGTCCAATCCCGAGATCTACCGCGTCAAGAACGATGTCGCCTACGCCATCTCTGTCTCGGAGCACGCCTGGGACGCGTGGACGCCCTTTACGGTGCCTGCCGGCGACGAGCTGCAGATTGAGTTCTCCATGCTGTCGCCCTTCCACCGCCTGCCCCTGCACGTCGTCCCCGCGCAGGCGACCGACGACGCCACTGTCTACGCCGCGCACTTCACGCTGCCCGACCAGCACGGCATCTTCAACTTTTTGGTCGACTACAAGCGCCCCTTCTTGACCTACCTCGACGAGAAGATCACCGTGTCTGTCCGGCACATGGCCCACGACGAGTGGCCGCGCTCGTACGTCATCTCGGGCGCCTGGCCCTGGATCACCGGCATAGGCGCCACCGTGACCGGCTGGCTGGCCTTTTGCGCTCTGTGGATGTACTCCAAGCCCACCGGCCAGGTGGCTGTCGGCAAGAAGACGCAGTAAAGGTTGTGGCAGTGGAGAATTTGCGAACAAAATTTTAGATTTTCGCTTTTGTGAATGAAAAAAATGGACGAGTGTGAAGGACACCCAAAAGAGAGGATGGTGTGTAGACACTATAATATGGCGACCCAAATCTTCAGGAAGAAGGGGTCTAGCAATGTTTTCTGTTTTGTAACGTTGCCTGTTTTTATTTCAGTCCTTATATGTTTTTCCACTTTCAAAGTCTACGTACCATTTGTGACATGTGTGATGATCTCCGTTGTATCGAAACAAGACATTCAAAACATGTAATAACCAACAGACTTCTTAAATGAAGAATAGATAAACCAAAAGTTCCAAAAAAAAAAAAGATAAACGCTGGCAATGCTGACACGAACGGAAAAAGACCACCTCAAGTGCATTCGTCACCCCAGTTGCGCTTCACCCAGTCGGCAAAGTAGTCGGTGAACTTGTTCTCGAGATAGGCCTCGACGTCTGCGTCCGTGTAGTGCTTGTACGGTGTGCCGTCCGGCGCCACACCGCCTGCATTTTGTTCTGCATAGGCAAGGGCCTGTAGCACAAAGCGCTGGATAAAGTCGAAGAAGACAAAGTCGACCGTCGCGGGTTCGGCCAGCTCTTCGGTCCCTGTCGCCGCCTTGGGGAAACTGGCCTCGGCTTGGATGCAGTTGGGCAGCCGGAAATGCGGCAGCGGCTCGTGGACTGCATCGTCGCCGTCGAAGCCGAAATCGTCCCAGGTCGTGTAGCCGGCGACCAGGGGCGGACGGGACGCTTCATCGTCCGAGCTGCTCCCGCTCGCAGCGGCGGTCTCTGCCCGGCGGCCAAACAATGGCTTTTGCTGCGCGCCGTCGTGGCCGCTGTCCTTGATGCCACCATCAGCGCCGATGATGTGGGCGTTGTCTTCTTCTCTCAAGGAGTACGCCTCCGGAACACCCATTTCCCGCCAGTCCGTGACACCGGCCCAAGCCTCAGACTCGTCCGTCACACCCGCCGCGCGAGCCTCGGCAGCCATGGCGCTCAGGATCGGTCCAAAGTGATTCAGAATCGGCAGGACCTGCCGTGCCAGTGCATACGGGACGTCGGGGATGTAGCGCACCAGGCTGATAAAGGGCGACACAATAAACGTTGTGTCGCGCGTGAACGCGCCACGGAAAATGTCAAAGCGCATGGCCCCCGTATTGATGAGGACCAGGCGCGGCACGTCGGCGCGGTCGGGACGCACAATCGCCTCAGGCAGGACGTGCTTCCGCAGCAGGGAAAACACACTTGCCGGGTCGTCGTGCGGGCGGCGCTGCAGCCAGTAGTTCTGGGGGGCGCAGCCGTAGGGGGTCTCGAGATCCAGGTCCGAGCGGGCGGCGGCAATGGTGGCCGTCACGTTCAGGCCGTGGTCGGTCGGGAAGGTGGTGGCGTTGGTGCCGCTGTGGTAGTAGAGGCCGAGAAGGTTGTTGTCAATGTATCGACGAGCAAACGTGATGGGGGCCGGTGCCTCCGCTTTGACGCCGGTAACCGACATCCAGCCAATGGTCTCCAAGTAGCGCCCGCTGGCAATGGCAACGGCGCGGTCGTCAAAGCGGACGGCGTCGCGGGCGTGCGCGTGTCCCGCAAAGATGGCAATTGGTGTGTGTTCGTTCGCGGCACGGATGGCCTCGTAGATGACGCGCAGCTCGCCCATGCGCGCGCCAACGTGGCCAATGACGACGAACAAGTCGGCCGGCTCGTTGGTGATGGCGTGCTTGAACCACGGCTCCTGCATGGTCTTTTGCACGGGCTGCACCACTGAGTTGGCGGCGTTGGCCGTGAAGTTGA